TTGTTGATTGTGGCCTGTGGAATGTTGGTCCACTCCTCTTCAATGGCTGTGCGAAGTTGCTGGATATTGGCAGGAACTAGAACACGCTGTCGTATACGCCGATCCAGAGCATCCCAAACATGCGCAATGGGTGACATGTCCGATGAGTATGCTGGCCATGCAAGAACTGGGATGTTTTCAACTTCCAGGAATTGTGTACAGATCCTTGCAACATGGGGCCATGCATTATCGTGCTGTAACATGAGGTGATGGTCGTGGATGAATGGCACAACAGTGGGCCTCAGGATCTCGTCACAGTATTTCTGTGCATTCAAAATGCCATCAATAAAATGCACCTGTGTTCGTTGTCCATAACATACGCCTGCCCATACCATAACCCCACCGCCACCATGGGCCACTCGATCCACAACATTGACATCAGCAAACCGCTCACCCACACGACGCCACACACGCTGTCTGCCATCTTCCCTGAACAGTGAAAACCGGGATTCATCCATGAAGAGAACACCTCTCCAACGTGCCAGACGCCATCGAATGTGAGCATTTGTCCACTCAAGTCGGTTACGACGACGAACTGCAGTCAGGTCGAGACCCAGATGAGGACGATGAGCATGCAGATGAGCTTCCCTGAGACGGTTTCTGACAGTTTGTGCAGAAATTCTTTGGTTATGCAAACCGATTGTTGCAGCAGCTGTCCGGGTGGCTGGTCTCAGACGATCTTGGAGGTGAACATGCTGGATGTGGAGGTCCTGGGCTGGTGTGGTTACACGTGGTCTGCGGTTGTGAGGCCGGTTGGATGTACTGCCAAATTGTCTGAAACGCCTTTGGAGACGGCTTATGGTAGAGAAATGAACATTCAATTCACGGGCAACAGCTCTGGTGGACATTCCTGCAGTCAGCATGCCACTTGCACGCTCCCTCAAAACTTGCGACATCTGTGGCATTGTGCTGTGTAATAAAACTGAACATTTTAGAGTGGCCTTTTATTGTGGCCAGCCTAAGGCACACCTGTGCAATATTCATGCTGTCTAATCAGCATCCTGATATGCCACACCTGTGAGGTGGGATGGATTATCTCGGCAAAGGAGAAGTGCTCACTAACACAGATTTAGACAGATTTGTGAACAGTATTTGAGGGGAAATGGTCTTTTGTGTATGTAGAAAAAGTTTTAGATCTTTGAGTTCAGCCCATGAAAAATGGGAGCAAAAACAAAAGTGTTGCGTTTATATTTTTGTTCAGTGTAAATCCTCCACTGAGGCATAATGTTGTTGATTGGAACAACAGTCGCCAACATTAAAGGTGTTTAGGACTATCTCAACAGCTTTCTTTGCAGCCCTCACTTTCCTATCTATGGCCATCCTTCTTAGTGTAAATGAAGTACAGCTAGGGGAGGAAGTTACTACATACACATGCACACACATAAGGCCCTTTTACACTGCCTCTTCATCCTGTTATGTCAATTCACCATTCTGTATAAAAGGTACAATGAGGGAGGGGGGACAGAGTTGTCTCACCTCAAGGCAGCATCAGAGGTAATAAGACTGGCGAAACGACAACTGTAGCTACTGACACTCTGAGCAGAAGGCAACAGGAACAGCAAATGGTTGTTAAGTGCCATGTTATGTCACTGATTTTGTCTATAAAGCGCTGCTGACGCACGTTATATATCACACCAGAGCCCTACGCTGTTGTGTCACATGTCAAGCCCATCAAGCTTCTTTTGCTTCTGTGATATCAGCATGCTGTCTAAAAATGTGACACTGGACTGGCATGATGCTGCTGTTGTTTGGTTCTGTGTAAGGCAGAGACTTCTCTCTCTACAGCACAATCCCTGTGTAGGGCTATTCTCTACACTGCTGGCTCTGACTTGAGGTCGCCATCAGGCTACCCCAAGAACCACAACAGATCTGAAATTCTCTTCTGGAACTCTAGTGATTTGATGAATCTTGTTCATCAGTGTTGTTGTCAGTCAGCTGTCTGAACTCCCTTCTGAATGACTGATAGCTGGGCGGATCTCCTGAGAATGCTGAAACATCTCTCTGTGGGAAATATGTCACGTTTTACTGCTTGACTAGCACTTCCGTTATCCAATTTTGGCACTGCATTATTTCAGAAATGCCATGAGAAGTGAGTGCCTGCTGTAAATGGTCTACCATTGCTGTGGAACTGGCTACTCTATAAGGCAAAGCTCTGAGATGGAGGCTGCTTTTCTGCAGGTGCAGGAAAACCCACGTGTTTCTTATCAATAGTGCTGGGTATTGTTTAAAAGATTATGACACCAGTACCCTCGAAGTGATACTGATACCCACCCTTGGGTGCTCCGATGGGGTGAACAAAACTCCACCGCTGACCCAAAATAACCACAAGACACTTTTGAAACAAATACATGGGATTCATTAACACAAATCATGCAAACAAGAAAATAAAATCCCAGGCTGAGAGGCAGCAGGTCCAGCAGTCCCCACACCACAGGCTTCTGTCCTCTGCTGCTGGCACAGAAGCTCTTAAGCACCTCCTCCATGCCAGGTGCAATGCATCTCGTTAGGCAATGCAGCACACCTGTGCAGGAAAAGGGACAACAGCACAGAACACATACAGCCGTAACAGTACTTATTTTGGTTTTATTCATTAACATTCAGTGGTGTAAAATGCCACCAGACACCACCGGTGTGTAGTACAGCCATACTTTGGAACATATTTGTGGCATCTCAGCATGATGAACTGCCAACTCCTTCAAACACACTGACTTCACCACACCACAGACTGTATGTGATGTAGCTGCTGCGGTGGTGGACCGTGGACCAATTACATTTCGCAATAAATCAAACGCTTGCATTGACTGACTGCAAGCAAAGCCATAAAAATAGTCTTTTTTTTCTAGATCTGGGTACAAAAACAGTTGAATGAAGGGAATATTTGACTGGAGAATATGCCATATTACCTGGGTTATTTTGATTGGTACCTTAAAGGTATTGAGTACCGATATTCATCCCTACTCATCATCTACATATTTAACATAACAAGTGTCCCTTAACTCTGCCTGTCATTATCTTTTCTTTAGAAATGTAGCATATGCTCACAGCTCGTCACACTCTGTCTGCAGCTTCAAACCAGCAGAACTGCACTGGACACATTTGATGAGTGACCGAGCACAGAGCCAGTGTGGTTTTATTGGATGGATGAGACAGATGATCTCTGAGATGCTATCATCTACTTCATTGTCATCTTCATAAGATTTCCATCTCTCTCTTCTTTAGAGCATCTCATTATTTTTTTAATCTTGTTCTTTGTTGTTTCTTGAACAAAATCCTCAAAATCAACACATCTGGGCATGTACCAGTTACTGATCCTGATTTATAGATCTCCATCTTCAAGAAGAGGTGATGTTTCTGCATTAAGCTCTTTAAATTCTCCAAAAAACTTTCCAAACATAAATAATGCTTCTTCCTTTCATGGGGATTTTAATCTCCTTCCTATTCCGAGTGAGCAAAGCTAGCTTGCTTTCTCTCTCATCTTCATGCCTTCAGTTTCTTGTGACAACATTTGCCGTGGTCTTTGGCATCCTCTTCTGGCTGTCTGTTGAAACTACTATTATCCACAGTGGCACAGTCTCACACAAATAATGCACACAAACTTTGCTCTTTTCTGAAAAACAACAGCTTATCAGTATTCTACAATATTAACTAAGGCACTTCAAATAATGACCACTGCAGTTTAATAGCATGATAGTTTCTGGTTGGTTGGATGTTTTAAAAAAAAATTTTTTTTAGAAGACATTGTCACTTTTCACAGGAAAAACACAGGTGTAAATATTGAAATGAATGTTGGCTAAATTCCATTTACCTATTTTGATTTCAGGTTCTTGCATTTGTGAATGCTGGCACTCTCACTGGAAGTCTTGAATACAATGAAGCCCTCCTCAGTGTTATCGGTGACACCTGTGCTTATGACAGTCAAACTGTCCTCTGTGAAAAACGTGCTTGTCAAGTGTGCATAACTTTATTTTTTACAAGACAATCAATTTTTCTGCTTTAAAATCTGGTGGACATGATAATAAATTGAAAACTTGATGAAATGTGACTTGCATATGTGGTCGTAATCCAGAAATTTTTCATTTTAACAATAAAACCTTGTCCAGCTGATGTTGCATTAAATACACCTGTCAATCAAAAGTATTAAATCAACTGATAACATGGAGTCAGTAAACTGAACACTGGAGAAAAGGAGGAATTCAGGGCTTAGTCTTAAAATTGTGTTTTATTTTAATACAGTCAAGGTGTGCAACAAACAGATCCTTAAATTGTTTTCTTTATAGTCTTTTTTTTTTTTTTTTTAAATATCCTCTCACTAGATTACATTGCATTTTCCATTTTCTATACCATCTGATGTAGGCACAGTAGAAACTGATACATTAATCCAGCACAAATAAATAAACAAATAATAATTATCTTTAAAATTAAATTTTATTTGGTGCAGCACAATGAAGCGTTTGCATATTTAGAACACTACCACAACTTCAGACAGCTTCTCAGAAAAATACAATCAACCTAAACATACATTTATTGGTAAAAAATAAATAAATAAATAAAATAAATAAAAAAGGGAACATGTTTCCCTTGTTATATTTAACAACTGAATCCTCTATGACACAAAATTCTTGCATTGAACTACACAGACACACTGAATACACACTTTATATGTCAGATACAACAAAGACATAAAGGGAGATCATTTTACTGTTCATGTCTCCTATAAAAAGAGATAACTTTTGAGTTGCATACTGACATAAACATTATTGTAAAGTGGAGGGAAAAAAACAACATTTTGGACTCAAGTGCAGAAAAAAAGAAGCTTCAAATGGGATTTGATAACTGCATCAGATCACTGAGTGAAAAGAAAATGAGGTATCCTGGAAATCTCTCAAGAGGTAAATTGTTATACAACCACAGCATGCTGCACACCAGAAGCCCTCAATTATATAAACACATTCAATTTGTGGTGAATGCACTATGTCTATACCCGTAACCACACTTCACTGCAATCTGAAAAGCACTCGATGATGCATATGGCAACTAATACAGCCACAAAAACACCATTAATCAAACAAACAAGCTGAAGAGGTAAAAGTGTCACTGGTGATAATATGGACATTTTAAGTGTGAGTCTCATTTGACAGACGGAGGAGGCGTTGATGGCTTGTTGGGAGGCGAGACTTCGACAGTGCAGGTAGACAGAGAGGGGATGGATGAAGCCCAGGAGGCAGAGCAGCGTCAGACTGATGTTCACCTGCAGACACATGAAGGGAGAGAGGAGGAAACAGTAAGAGGAGAGTTCATAGATACAGATGGTGATAAAGGGAGAAGCACCAGAGTGAGATTTACAGTTGTATCACTTTGTTTACTCACATATAGAGGGTCTCCATCCAGAGGTCCATTCACCAGGGCAAAGCAGCCGTACTGCAGCAGAGTAAACACTGCAGACAGAGCCATGATCAGACCATACACCTTTCCAAAGTGGCACAACGGGAAACTACAGGAAGGAAGTGGCATATATTATGTTATTAGCAGATGTAAGAGCATTTTAACATGTTTCTTAATGTACAGTATTTATCAGTTTATGATCATGACATTTAGATTCATTGCTTTATAATCAGTGTTGCGCTGCTACAACAGTGTGGACAAGAGAGACAACAAAGAGACAAAATAGCAGCATGTAATTAACCCTCTGAGACCCAGATACTGTAGACCCATGTTTGTTTTTTGTTACAGTCAGCAGTATATGCTACATAGAAGTGGTGAAGTTTGAGATGCAGCTCAACACTGTGTGTCAAGTTTATTATTGTGTGTGTTAAGTTAATTATTACATGCAAAAAGTGCAGAGTTTGTGCCCTAAACTGTGTGGGACTAACATAAGTGGACATGTCTGTAAAGGGGAGACTCGTGGGTACCCACAGAAACCAATTTTATTCAGATAAGCAAATTAAACAAGGAATGACCAACCATTGTCTGATAAAGATTACAATACCGTGTTCTAAAATGATCGCCAGTAATAAAATAAAGTGCTGAGTGATAAACAGTGTCAAGCTATTTCAAGGTGGTAGAGGTAGCATGTATATAGATACTGGTACCATAGTCAAGTACTGACAGGAAAGAAGATATTAAAAGTTTGCTGTTTTTACTCTAAAAACATGATGTATTTCTACAAGAGACCCAGAGTTTGACCCTTAAAAGATAACTTCGGTATTTTTCAACCTGGGCCCTATTTCCCCATGTGTATGTGTGCGTATGAAAGATGCGTAGAGATAGCACTGGCGATCTGAACTGGTCAATGGCGAAAAAAAGCACTTTTAATGCGCAAACTTATATGGGACGCATTTGCCCCCATATCTACCTCGCGGCTGCCGGCTGCATCCGCCTCCCTCAATACTGAACCAATTTTAAAATGAGTTGTACCTATGAATCATACGCACACATACACATGGGGAAATAGGGCCCAGGTTGAAAAATACTGAAGTTATCCTTTAACTATTTTAGCTAGTTACTTTTGGGAGGACACTCTTTCAATTTCAGAACCATCCAAAGTGCAAATATTGAGGTCAATTTCTTTTAAAGAGAGGGATCTAGAAAATTACCCTTATTATTATTATCATTATTATTATTATTATTATTATTATTATTATTATTATTATTATTATTA